GGAGCTGCGCTCCCGCGGAGCCATGTGTATCCTTTGTCACAGGAGGAGAAGAGGGCGATGGAGACATACATTGCCGAGTCTCTGAGACAGGGATACATAAGGCCCTCCACTTCACCCGCGTCCTCAAGCTTCTTTTTTGTGAAGAAAAAGGATGGAGGTTTGCGCCCGTGTATTGATTACCGCGGTCTCAATCAGATTACTGTGAAATATAGTTATCCACTCCCTCTGATTGCGACGATGACGGAGTCATTACACGGGGCACGGTTCTTCACAAAATTGGACCTCAGGAGCGCATATAACTTGGTGCGCATTAGAGAGGGCGATGAATGGAAGACAGCATTTAGTACTACCTCCGGTCATTACGAGTATCTCGTCATGCCATACGGGTTAATGAATGCTCCATCAGTTTTCCAATCCTTTGTAGATGAGATTTTCCGGGACATGCAGGGGCAGGGAGTAGTGGTGTACATAGACGATATTCTGGTGTACAGTTCTACCCGAGCCGAACATGTAACCCTGGTGCGCCGAGTATTGAGGAGGCTGTTGGAGCATGACCTGTATGTCAAAGCAGAGAAATGTCTGTTCTTCCAAGAGTCGGTCTCCTTTTTGGGTTATCAGTTGTCTGCGTCAGGGGTGAGGATGGAGGTTGACCGTGTGTCAGCCGTGCGTAATTGGCAAACCCCAACCACGGTTAAAGAGGTGCAGCAGTTCTTGGGTTTTGCGAATTACTACCGGAGGTTTATCCGGGGTTTTGGACAGGTGGCAGCTCCCATAACGTCCCTTCTGTAGGGGGGTCCGGTGCGCTTGCGGTGGTCAGCTGAGGCGGACAGGGCTTTTGGGAGACTGAAGGACCTGTTTACCTCGGCTCCAGTGCTGGCGCACCCGGATCCCGCTTTACCATTCCAAGTGGAGGTGGACGCGTCTGAAGCCGGTATCGGGGCCGTTCTCTCACAACGGTCCGGCACACCACCTAAACTCCGCCCCTGTGCTTTTTATTCGAAAAAGCTCAGTCCGGCGGAGCGTAATTATGATGTAGGGGACAGGGAGCTGTTAGCCGTGGTACAAGTCCTAAAGGTGTGGAGGCATTGGCTTGAGGGGGCTCAACACCCTTTTCTCATTTTGACTGACCACCGTAACCTGGAATACATTCGGGCAGCTAGGAGACTGAATCCTCGCCAGGCTCGGTGGACTATGTTTCTAGCCCGGTTCGTGTTTAAGATCACTTACATCCCTGGGTCCCAGAACGGGAAGGCAGATGCCCTGTCTCGGCGGTATGACACGGAGGAGAGGTCCGTTGAGCCCACTCCCATACTACCTAAGTCTTGTCTGGTTGCACCGGTGGTATGGGAGGTCGATACGGAGATCGAGCGGGCGTTACGCACCGACCCTACCCCTCCACAGTGTCCGGTGGGTCGGACGTACGTCCCGCTCGAGGTCCGTGATCGACTCATTTATTGGGCTCACACGTCACCCTCCTCTGGGCATCCAGGTATTGGCCGGACAGTGCACTGCCTTAGCACAAAGTACTGGTGGCCAACGTTAGCCAGGGATGTGAGGATTTATGTCTCCTCCTGCCCAGTGTAAGGCGCCCAGACACTTGCCCAGGGGTAAGTTACAACCCCTGCCCGTTCCACAACGACCCTGGTCTCACCTCTCGGTGGATTTTGTTACAGACCTTCCCCCCTCACAGGGGAATACCACCATCCTGGTCGTTGTGGATCGGTTCTCGAAGGCCTGTCGTCTCCTTCCCATGCCGGGTCTTCCTACTGCCCTACAGACCGCTGAGGCTCTATTTACCCACGTCTTCCGGCATTACGGGGTACCCGAGGATATAGTGTCTGATCGAGGCCCCCAGTTTACCTCCAGAGTCTGGAGAGCGTTTATGGAACGGTTGGGGGTGTCGGTGAGCCTTACCTCGGGTTACCACCCGGAGAGTAATGGGCAGGTCGAACGTGTCAACCAGGATGTGGGTAGGTTTCTGAGGTCGTATTGCCAGGGCCGGCCGGAGGAGTGGGCGAGATATGTTCCCTGGGCCGAGATGGCACAGAACTCTCTCCGCCACTCCTCCACTAAACTAACCCCTTTCCAGTGTGTGTTAGGGTACCAGCCGGTTCTGGCACCTTGGCATGAGAGCCAGATCGAGGCCCCTGCGGTGGATGAGTGGGTGCGGCGCTCGGAGGAGACGTGGAACGCTGCACACATCCATCTGCAGCGAGCCATCCGTCGACATAAGACGAGCGCCGATCTCCACCGCAGTGAGGGGCCAGTGTACGCACCTGGAGATCGAGTCTGGCTCTCAACCAGAAACCTGCCCCTCCGCCTGCCCTGCCGGAAGCTGGGTCGGCGGTTTGTGGGGCCTTTTAAAGTCCTGAGGAGATTGAACGAGGTGTGTTATAGGTTACAACTGCCCATTGATTACAAGAATATTAACCCCTCGTTCCATGTGTCTCTCCTCAGGCCGGTGGTAGCTGGTCCACTCCAGGACTATGAGATAGAAGAGACTCCTCCGCCCCCGTTGGACATCGAGGGGGCTCCGGCGTACACTGTTCGGTCCATCCTAGATTCGAGACGCCGGATGGGGGGTCTCCAATATCTCGTGGAGTGGGAGGGGTACGGCCCGGAGGAGCGGTGCTGGGTGCCGAGGAGGGACATCCTAGACCCATCTCTTCTGACCGAGTTCCATCGTGGTCATCCTACGCGCCCTGCTCCGCGTCTTCCTGGTCGTCCCCGAGGCCGGGGTCGGCGCACGGCTGGAGCCGCGCGTCAAGGGGGGGGGGGGTACTGTCACGGTTTCGGCCGAGGCTGCTCCTTCTCCTTGTTCGGGCAGGCTTCGGCGGTCGTCGTCTCCGGAGTACTAGCTGCCACCGTTCTATGTTTCTATGTTTGATTGGTTTTGTCTGTTGGTTACACCTGTTCCTTGTTAGTGTTCATTATGCGTCCTATTTAGTTCTCTTGTGATTGGTCAGGTGTTGTGTGTAATTGTTCATTGTCACGTTGTGTGCTAGTTCGTTTATTCTGTTCTCTCTGTATTTTTTGTGTTTGAGAGAGAGTTCCGCACTTTGTGCGCCTTTAGCATACTTTACCGTTGTGCGTAAAGTTCGCCTGTAGCCTGTTGCCATGTGTGGCTTGTTTTTGGACTTTACTAAAGACGCTGTTCGAAACCTCTGTGTGTCCTGCGCCTGATTCTACACTACCTCTACACTCAACCCTGACAACTTATTTCCCTCATTAAAATGCAAATCAATTTATAACATTTTTGACATGCGTTTTTTCTGGATTTTTTTGTTGTTATTCTGTCTCTCACTGTTCAAATAAACCTACCATTAAAATTATAGACTGATCATTTCTTTGTCAGTGGGCAAACGTACAAAATCAGCAGGGGATCAAATACTTGTTTCCCTCACTGTAGATGGTTGAGATTTATTATGTTTTATTCAGGCTTTAACAATAAAATGTGGAATAAGTCAAGGGGTATGATGAATACTTTCTCAAGGCACTGTATATACTGTATAATTCATATATATATATATATATATATATATATATATATATATATAGTATAAATCATTGACTCTAACCCGTGGTCATTGGCGCCCAATTGTGGTCAAAATAATAAACACTCAAGGAATCTCGCTGTAAACATGACGTCATACTCCTAACACCCCGTTTTATGTTTGTTTGTTTGTTTTTTATACCGCTTTCAAAACAAGAACTAGGAATTGAGTACTCGATTTCGACTTCCGACCTCAGTGCGTTCAGGACAACTGGGAACTCGTAATAACGAGATCCGCCTGGAAAAAATGTTTTTTAAAGGTCATCCAACTTGGAATTCCAAGTCAGAAACTCGGGCATCCTTCTAGAGCTCCCACTTTCTGACCTGACGTCTTGATTTGATCTCGTTTTTTTCTGAATTCGTGTTGTCTTGAAAGCACCATTGTGCCTCATTCAAAAAAACTGGGAACTCAGAACAATACGTGGTCAAATCATGACGTCAGTGATCTTCAGGTCGGAAAGTCAGCTCTCGAAAGAGGCCCGAGTTCCCAAGTTGGAATTCCGAGTTGGATGACTGTTGAAATCGATTTTTCCCAGTTGGAACTCGTTTTTTTTCTTATTCGAGTTCCCAGTTGTTTTGAACGCACTGAAGTCGGATGTCGGAGATTTCGATTTCTGAGTACCCAGTCCCCAGTTGTTTTGAACGCGGCAACAGCTCCGACCTGAAAATCACTGACTCCATTATTTGCCCTCGTATTTTTCCGACTTCTCAGTTGTCGTGAACGCACCATAAGGCTAGAAAAAATGTGTGACGTAGAAGCCAAGATGGCGGCCCCCCTCTCCACGATGAAATTTTGGAAACCGGGTAAGCACAATATTGTTAAATTAGGCAATAATTGCATGCGTATAGTCGTTTCACTTAAAAGTATATTAATGTGTGCATGTGAATTAGTGCGTAAGACATTTATTGCAGATAACCAACGTGTTTTCCCGCCTGAGTTGTGTTATGATCGCCAACGTTACTGCTGTGGTCCATTGTCATTGATACTAACTAGTTATAACGTTAACTAGCTAACGGTAGTAGCTAGTTACTGCTATCTTGAGGATTGTGAACGTATTTAAATTGCCCAGCATGACAGAAAATATACGTTGTCAAGCCACATTGGTTATGATGCAAAGGGAAGTAGCTAACTAGCTAGCTAGTTACTATCATTCGGTTCCCGCTCGGTTATGCATAAGCCGGTAAGGCCAGGGGATTTTGCACGTCCCTTTGCAGTAAAAATGTATCTATAGCTAGATTGGCCTGTCATCATATCAGGCGTTAGTTAGGTATACGTTAGCTGAATCCAAGCTGTCCGCAGCATTTCACTCTGCAGAGAAACAATCTGGTATTAGGTAATCTTATCAATGTTGTATTTGTTTCGTTGCGGCGTTGATTATCGTTGGTCATGAATCTACGACGATCTTTGATTCCCCTACTCTATTACATCATCGTCTGTCTTTAAGGTTCGGAGGCCCCCGGGATATCGGAGGAGCGGGAGGTCACGACAGAAACGACTGGTTCCCCCATAATTTTCAACCCTCACACCGCACTGTCCATCGAGAAGCAGCGGCAGAAACTACCTGTTTTCAAGGTTGCTCAACCTCATCTTTAGGCACCTCATGTAACTAGTAGATGAGTAATATGGTTATAGCTTCACCTTGCCCCCCTATCCAATCCAATCAGATCTGGCAGCCTATGTGGGGTTGAAACATGCAAGGGCCACTAGGCCGAAGTTGATGTCTTCACTGACAGACAGATCATCTAGATGCAATCAAATGATTTACTTTTATCATCCACTCTCATTAGTATAGTGTTTTTTATTGTTTCTACTAAATCATAGGAGTCCCGTTGACATGTTGTCTGCCATGTTGTTTTCAGCACAGAAACAACATCCTCTACTTGGTGGAGAGTTACCAGACAGTGATCATCGTAGGAGAGACAGGATGTGGGAAGACTACACAGATCCCCCAGGTTTGGATAAGCTTCCCCTTTGGCGTTCATTGTAGAGGTAATATACAGTAGCCAGGCTTGACAACGACAGAGTTGGCTCAAGCAGCAGTTCATATCTGTCTAGTTCTAACTAAATATGAAGGATTTTGACTATTCTCATGAAATAGGACTGATTTAAAATAGAAGTTGGTGTAGGGGAACACTTGACCCATTACTGTGGAGAATACTAAGGACACACCAGTCTTCCACTGTAGCCAAGTTGAGTTGTTGTGCAGCCAGTAGAACAGCCTCCAGGCAGGACACTGCAGCAGTGGACTGATACCCTTCACACAGCCTCCTTCCCATGGAGAGGGAGAGTGACCTTGTCCGCTGCTTACTAGCCTCTTCTCTTCTATGCAGCCAGAGTTCGGAGCAAATCAAGTGGGACTTAATTTCTGCTGAGTATGCTGTCCTAGACTTTATATTGATGCCCCTCGCTCTCTTGCTCTCTCACGCTCCCCCTTGTCCTCTGTCTTTCTCTTGCTCTTCTGCACCCCTCTCTTCCCCTCTCTCTTACCCCTTCCTTTCTTTCTCCACCTCAGTATTTGCTGGAGGCTGGCTGGGCAGCTGACGGGAAGGTGATTGGTGTGACACAGCCTCGTAGAGTGGCTGCTATATCAGTAAGTACTCCTATCTCGCTCACACTCTCCTTAAGCTCTGCTGGCCCTGTGGACTTCTTAGCTGCCCTGAATATCAAATAGTCCCCTTCTATAATTTTAAAGAGTTGCAAAAAATGATGTAACTTACTTTTATTAAAATAACTGTATTTGGGTACTTTTTAAGAGACAGTTCTGCCTGACTGAGGTTGTTTCCCCTCTCTTCCTGTCAGGTAGCCAACCGTTTGGCAGAAGAGCGTGGAGCCCTGTTGGGGCATGAGGTGGGCTATACCATCCGCTTTGATGACTGCTCTGATCCCCATGCCACCCGCATTAAGGTACTACAGCCAGCCTGTCGTCATGTCCCCTGACACATAGTGGTACCATCAATTCCTTTTATTGGATGTTTTCCTTACAGGAATTTTCTTTATTTCTTTCTCTCTCAGTTCCTGACAGATGGGATGCTGGTGAGAGAGATGATGGCTGATCCTCTACTGAAGAAGTACAGGTAAATAACTACACTAACAAACTGAGCTAGTATTGGCTACGCAATACTAGCCTCAGACTGAATATCAATGGTGGATTCAATGTCTGGGTTCATCCTGTTGTAACCCCAGGGATCTGTCTGTCTATCTTTCCTCCTCAGTGTTCTAATGCTCGACGAGGCCCATGAGAGAACCCTCTACACGGACATAGCCATCGGCCTGCTAAAGAAGGTAGCTTCTGTGCATGTCTCTTTAATGCTGGAATCCTTAATTGAAACGATAGCAAAGCGGTTACCCTGCCTATGTTTTGGTAAAAAGCTGAGGGATGTGCCTGGAGAAATGTAACCACTCTCAAATTCAAAGCCAGAGCTATGTATCCAAGGACCATGATATCAAAATTAGAGTTTTAACCATGTTTTGAGGCTATACAGTGTTACATTGACTTTGTTTACAAACATTAGAGTATAACAAGCTTATATTTTGGGTTTCTGATGGGGTACGACAGTTGAACTAAGCTCTTCAGGCATTTATAAGTTATCTTCAAGAATCAATGGGTGTATATATAAATAATTTATAAGTTAAAAATGGTATGTAGCAGCTAGGGATTCACAGCTTTAACAGCTCTATATCTTCACTCGGATTGGACCGGGTCCGCTGTAATGTATTTAAACTGACAATGCATTCGGTTAGGCTTACAATGCATCTGAAATATATTACATCCGTGAAATAAACCTTTCTCCTCGTTTCATCCTCCTTTAGATTCAGAAGAAGCGCAGAGACCTCAGGCTGATAGTGGCCTCAGCCACCCTGGATGCCAAGGTGATTCTCTGCTTCATTAAGATGGACAGATATGCTTCAGTACAGAGAAACAAAGGAACAGAAAGAGAGGGAGAGATGAGCTGATGTCCTGAGAGACCACAGTGCATTGACATCTGAAATGTACCACAAAGACAGTGCAGACAGACAGACGCAGTTGGCTCATGACTGCGTCACAGTCAGTCAACAAACCAGATGGGACATCGGGCTGTATTTATTTTTTTATCTTGTGCTGAAATGGTTTTTATGTTTGCCAACTCAGCAATTTTTGCTTCATAGGCATTCCTCAGAAATGTTGTAGTAATACTCTTCCCTGTGTAGCGCAGCCAAATCTCAGCTAAATCTTGCTTTAGTGACAGAAAAAGTTACATTTCACATTTGCAAATACAGTTGGATAAAATATGTATTTTGTCTTCTTTAGAAAATAACAACTCCTTTGTTGTGGTCATGCCAGTGACAAGCCTGGTTACCTGGCTACGTCTAACCCACTCATATGTTGTTATCACATTGGCTGCAGAAATTCCAAGAGTTCTTTAACCTGAATGAGACTGGAGATCCTAACAAGGATACGTGTGGAATTCTGACGGTGGAGGGACGCACCTTCCCTGTTGACGTCTTCTACACTGTCAGGTATTCCATGGAATTCTGAGAGTCTCTTCTGTCTCCAACCCTGTCACAGACTATCACATTCTACAGCCCCACATCGTTAATGTTTCATTGGTGTCAGTATTAATGAAGCTCAGGACAGACCGAGTTGAGCATCTCCTCACATTGTCTCCTTTCTCTGTCCCCAGCCCAGTCCTAATAGTGTCTCCCCTCTCTCTCTGTCCCCAGCCCAGTCCTAATAGTGTCTCCCCTCTCTCTCTGTCCCCAGCCCAGTCCTTATACACTGTGTCCCCTCTCTCTCTGTCCCCAGCCCTTATACACTGTCTCCCCTCTGTCCCCAGCCCAGTCCTTATACACTGTCTCCCCTCTCTGTCCCCAGCCCAGTCCTTATACACTGTCTCCCCTCTCCCTTTCGCTCTCTCTCTTTGTGTGTGTGTCTAGTCCTTAAACACTGTCTCCCCTCTGTCCCCAGCCCAGTCCCAGACTATGTGAAGGCCACAGTGGAGACGGTGATGAAGATCCATGAGACTGAGGATGATGGAGATGTTCTGGCCTTCCTCACTGGACAGGTGTGTTTCTCTTAGGGTTTGATTTTGAGCTGGGTACTTTTTGTCATGTGACCTGTGTGTGTTACCTGTCCTGTAGGAGGAGGTGGAGAAGGTGGTGTCTCTGCTCCAGGAGCAGGCCAGAGCTCTGGGCCGTCTCGGCATGAAGAAATACCTCAAGGTGCTGCCCATGTACGCAGGTCTGCCCTACGCTGACCAGATGAAGGTGTTTGAGAGGACGCCCCCTACTGTCCGCAAGGTGAATCTCAATCTGCGTCTGTGCGCCGTCCCAATGTCCCTACCCAGTGGTCATCAACCCTGGTCAGTGGAATGTTAAATTAGTTGTTGTTACTGGGCTGGCACAAATGCCTGCACACCTTATAGTTCTCCAGGACCAGGGTTGGTGAGAGCTGGTCTAGGGGGACTGCATATGATGCATGTATCACAATCAGCATCATAAAGAGATGCAGGGTCCAACATAAACGCTTGTCCTCTTGTCCAGGACAAGAAGAAGAAAAAAAAGTTGGACAAGAATATAGATTTAGGTTGTCCAAATATCAAACAATTACTCCGATCAGAGAGGCTTACATTGAAATACATTTTTCATGTACATAAATAAAAATGCCTACAGTGCCTTCAAAAAGTATTCACTCTAGTGGTCTTCACAGATCCAAAAAGTTGGACCGGTTCTGAAATGGACCTGGGGCTTTCCCACCCGGACCCGATATGCATAATTTTTTTAAATATAGAGACCCATTCCGAACGGACCCTAGGACCTCTAGACCCATTCCGTATAGTCCTAGGAGGACCCGGTCCAATCCGAGTGAAGGAAGCAGCAGAAAAGTAGTCTTTTTTAAATCAGATTTTTTAACTGGAGCTGATAAAGCGCGAGAGCAGGGAGAGAGGTACCGCTCTAGCAGGCGGGGAAGGGGCCGTACTGTGAGCGAGTGACATGGGGAGGAGAGAGGGAGAGACGGCAACCAACCAACCAAGCAGTCTCGCGTTATAGTAGACTAAGAGCTGCCGTAGCTAGGTTATTTATCATCAAATATGATTACATAGTACCTGTCTTGGACTGCATCAAACCTGGAGAAGCTAGCTAACATTAGCTAGCTAGGCTAACTGAGGCTGCAGTGCATGCGCTTTCTCATCTTAGTTACAAATAACTACTCCATTCAGAATATTAAGTAGCAGCCTACCTGTTGGCTCTTGGTCATTGTAGCCTATCCTTCTCCTTTAACTTTTTATTCTTTCATTTTAATTCCATCTTCCATTGATTAGATATCTCCTAACTTTAGCCACACATGGAGGCTCTATGACTGTAGCCTATTACCGCTTTGATGACTTATGATTGGCCAAGAGAAAGCGCCACACTCCACTCTCATGAAAAGCAAGAGCAGCAGTATAAATGATAAAATGTCTCTCTCTACTGCAGCAGTCGCGTTCGGATCTGTACGGGCCATTCCGGACAAGTCAGTTAAAATTACACATACCTGAGAACCGTGACAAGCATATCAGATCCGACCCAGACCCGTGACATTATTTCGAATTCTGCATCTGGACCCGGTCCCGGATCGGGTCTCGGGTATTCGGGTGCAGGAGGATCCGTGATGACCTCTAATTCTCACCCCTTGACTTTTTCCACATTTTGTTGTGTTACAGCCTGAATTTAAAATGGATTAAATTGAGATTTTGTGTCAGAGGGGGGAAAAGCATTCATTGAATATCCCTTTGAGCATGGTAAAGTTATTAATTACACTTTGGATGGTGTATCAATACACCCAGTCACTACAAAGATACAGGCGTCCTTCCTAACTCAGTTGCCGGAGAGGAAGGAAACCGCTCAGGGATTTCACCATGAGGCCAATGGTGACTTTAAAACAGTTAGAGTTTAATAGCTGTGATAGGAGAACTGAGGATGGATCGGATCAACAACATTGTAGTTATTCCACAATACTAACTTAAATGACAGAGTGAAAAGAAGGAAGCCTGTACAGAATAAAAATATAATGACGCACTAAAGTAAAACTGCTAAAAATGTGGCAAAGAAATGAAATGTATGTCCTGAATACAAAGCGTTGTGTTTGGGGAAAATCCAATCCAACACATCACTTAGTACCACTCTCCATATTTTCATGCATGGTAGTGGCTGCATCATGTTATGGGTGTGCTTGTCATCGGCAAGGACTAGGAAGTTTTTTATGATAAAAATAAATGGAATAGAGCTATGCACAGGCAAAATTCTAGAGGAAAACCTAGTTCATTCTGCTTTCCAACAGACACTGGGAGATAAATTCACCTTTCAGCAGGACAATAACCTAAAACACAAGGGCAAATATACAGTCGTGGTCAAAAGTTTTGAGAATGACATAAGTATTGGTCTTCACAAAGTTCGCTGCTTCATTGTTATGAGATATTTTTGTCAGATGTTACTATGGTATACTGAAGTATAATTACAAGCATTCCATAAGTGTAAAAGGCTTTTATTGACAATTACATTAAGTTTATGACAATATTTGCAGTGTTGACCCTTCTTTTTCAAGACCTCTGCAATCCGCCCTGGCATGCTGTCAATTAACTTCTGGGCCACATCCTGACTGATGGCAGCCCATTCTTGCATAATCAATGCTTGGAGTTTGTCAGAATTTGTGGGTTTTTGTTTGTCCACCCGCCTCTTGAGGATTGACCACAAGTTCTCAATGGGATTAAGGTTTGGGGAGTTTCCTGGCCATGGACCCAACATTTCAATGTTTTGTTCCCCGAACCACTTAGTTATCACTTTTGCCTTATGGCAAGGTGCTCCATCATGCTGGAAAAGGCATTGGTCGTCACCAAACTGTTCTTGGATGGTTGGGAGAAATTGCTCTCGGAGGATGTGTTGGTACCATTCTTTATTCATGGCTGTGTTCTTAGGCAAAATTGTGAGTGAGCCCACTCCCTTGGCTGAGAAGCAACCCCACACATGAATGGTCTCAGGATGCTTTACTGTTGGTATGACACAGGACTGATGGTAGCGCTCACCTTGTCTTCTCCGGACAAGGTGTTTTCCGCATGCCCCAAACAATCGGAAAGGGGATTCATCAGAGAAAATGACTTTACCCCAGTCCTCAGCAGTCCAATCCCTGTACCTTTTGCAGAATATCAGTCTGTCCCTAATGTTTTTCCTGGAGAGAAGTGGCTTCTTTGCTGCCCTTCTTGACACCAGGCCATCCTCCAAAAGTCTTCGCCTCACTGTGCATGCAGATGCACTCTCACCTGCCTGCTGCCATTCCTGAGCAAGCTCTGCACTGGTGGTGCCCCGATCCCGCAGCTGATTCATCTTTAGGAGACGGTCCTGGTGCTTGCTGGACTTTCATGGGCACCCTGACGCCTTCTTCACAACAATTTAACCCCTCTCATTGAAGTTCTTGATGATCCGATAAATGGTTGATTTAGGTGCAATCTTACTAGCAGCAATATCCTTGCCTGTGAAGCCCTTTTTGTGCAAAGCAATGATGACGGCACGTGTTTCCTTGCAGGTAACCATGGTTAACAGAGGAAGAACAATGATTTCAAGCATCACCCTCCTTTTTAAAGCTTCCAGTCTGTTATTCTAACTCAATCAGCATGACAGTGATCTCCAGCCTTGTCCTCGTCAACTCTCACCTGTGTTAACGAGAGAATCACTGCCATGATGACAGCTGGTCCTTTTGTGGCAGGGCTGAAATGCAGTGGGAATGTTTTTTTGGGGATTAAGTTCATTTTCATGGCAAAGAGGGACTTTGCAATTCATCTGATCACTCTTCATGACATTCTGGAGTATATGCAAATTGCCATCATCAAAACTGAGGCAGCAGACTTTGTGAAAATTAGTATTTGTGTCATTCTCAAAACTTTTGACTACGACTGTACACTGGAGTTGCTTACCAAGACTACATTGAATGTCCCGGAGTGGCCTAGTTAAAGTTTTGACGTTAAATTGGCTGGAAAACCTATGGCTGTCTAACAATGATCAACAACGAACTTGACAGAGCTTGAACAATTAAAAAAGATAATGTGCAAATATTGTTCAAATTCCAGGTGTGCAAAGCGCTTACAGATTTACCCCAAAATACTCACAGCTGTAATCATTGCCGAGGGTGATTCTAACATGTATTGACGCAGGGGTGTGAATACCTATGTAAATTAGATATTTCTGTATTTCATTTTCAATAAATTAGCAAAAATTTCTGATAACATGTTTTCACTTTGCTGTTATGGGATATCGTGTGTAGAGTTTCTTGGCAATTTATAGCATGGAATAGCCTTAATTTCTCAGAACAAGAATAGACTGACGAGTTTCAGAAGAAAGTTATTTGTTTCTGGCCATTTTGATTCTGTAATCGAACACAAAATTGCTGATGCTCCAGATACTCAACTAGTCTCAAAAAGGCCAGTTTTATTGCTTCTTTAATCAACACAACAGTTTTCAGCTGTGCTAACATAATTGCAGAAGGGTTTTCTAATGATCAATTAGCCTTTTAAAATGACAAACTTGGATTAGCAAACACAATGTGCCATTGGAACAGAGGACTGATGGTTGCAGATAATGGGCCTCTGTACGCCTATGTAGATATTCCATAAAAAATCATCTGTTTCCAGCTACAATAGCCATTTACAACATTAACAATGTCTACGCTGTATTTCTGATCAATGTGATGTTATTTTAATGGACAAAAAAATGCTTTTCTTTCGAAAACAAAGACATTTCTAAGTGACCCCAAACTTTTGAACGGTAGTGTAGGCAAAAACGGCAGTCATGTTTGAAAAATATAATGAAGGATAATGAACATTAACGTCTAAAGTCTTGATTCTGTCAACATACTGGAGGCATGGTAGTGTTCAGATCAAATGGTCACATTAGCGGAGGCAGTCAGCATTTTGAAACTGTTTAACCATAAACGTAATTGTTTAAAACCTGGATGTTTTATGTCATTTTTTGATGCATGTCTTATTTTATTTCAAAGTAGCCTAGCCAAAACACAACCATAGAAATGTTGAGGGAATTACATTACATGGCCAAATGTATGTGGACCCCTTTCAAATTAGTGGATTCTGCTATTTCAGCCACACCTATTGCTGACAGGTGTTTAAAATCGTGCACACAGCCAGGCAATCTCCGTAGACAAACATTGGCAGTAGAATGGCCCGTACTGAAGAGCTCCGTGACTTTCAACATGGCACTGTCATAGGATGCAACCTTTCCAACAAGTCAGTTCGTCAAATGTCTGCCCTGCTAGAGCTGCCCCGATCAACTGTAACATCTATTATTGTGAAGGGGAAACATCTAGGAGCAACAACTGCTCAGCCACGAAGTGGTAGGTCACACAAGCTCACAGAACTGGACCGCCAAGTGCTGAAGCGCGTAAAAATCATCTGTCCTCGGTTGCAACACTCACTACCGAGTTCCAAACTGCCTCTGGAAGCAACGTCAGCACAATAACTGTTCGTTGGGAGCTTCATGAAATGGGTTGACATGGCCGAGCAGCCACACACAAGCGTAAGATAACTATGCGCAATGCCAAGCGTCGGCTGGAGTGTTGTAAAGCTCGCCACCATTGGACTCTGGAGCAGTGTAAACGCTTTCTCTGGAGTGATGAATCACGCTTCGCCATCTGGCAGTCCGACGGACAAATCTGGGTTTGGCGGATGCCAGGAGAACACTACCTGTTCGACTGCATAGTGCCAACTGTAAAGTTTGGTGGAGGAGGAATAATGGTCCTGGGGCTGTTTTTCATGGTTCGGGCAAGGCCCCATAGTTCCAGTGAAGGGAAATCTTAACGCTACAGCATACAATGACATTCCAGACGATTATGTACTTCCAGCTTTGTGGCAGCAGTTTGGGGAAGGCCTTTTCCTGTTTCAGCATGAAAATGCCCCCGTGCACAAAGTGAGGTCCATTCAGAAATGGTTTTTCGAGATCGGTGTGGAAGAACTTGACTGGCCTGCACAGAACCCTGACCTCAACTCCATCGAACACCTTTGGGATGAATTGGAACGCCGACTGCGAGCCAGGCCTAATCACCCAACATCAGTGCCTGACCTCGCTAATGCGCTTGTGGTTGAATGGAAGCCCCGTGTAGCTCAGTTGGTAGAGCATGGCGCTTGCAACGCCAGGGTTGTGGGTTCGTTTCCCACGGGGGGCCAGTATGAAAAAATTTATGCACTCACTAACTAAGTCGCTCTGGATAAGGGCGTCTGCTAAATGACAAAAATGTAATGTAAATGTAAGTCCCCGCAGCAACGTGATGGGCGACTAACTTTTGGACAAGTAAAAAATCTGTCCTACTTATCTGAAGGACAGGTTGTAAAAAAAGTGAATGTCAAGCCCTGAGATGGCCAGATTGGAGTTTGCGGCAATGAATGCTTTTATACCTCCGCTAGTACACAGGACAACCGTGTGTATACGGTAAGCTTCCTTAAGAGTACCGAGCGATGAAAACACTTTTTGCCACAAGATGAAATGATCTATCAGTCATATGGCGGAGTCAATTCCCGATGTACAATTCCCCATTGCAAAGCCTTGTATTGTATTGGAGTGGGAGGTCTGTTAAAGCGCACTCTCTGGTTCTCTAAGGTGGTGGTGGCCACTAACATAGCAGAGACGTCCATCACCATCAACGGCATTGTGTTTGTGATCGACTGTGCATTTGTCAAGCTGCGGGCGTACAACCCTTGCACTGCAATCGAGTCACTGGTGGTCACACCCATCTCCAAGGCCTCGGCCAGTCAGAGGGCAGGACGAGGGGGACGCAACCGAGCCGGGAAGTGCTTCAGACTATACACAGGTAGGTGTGGGGGGGGGGGCTGTCTCTGTGTGTGTTATCGGAAAGGCCATCGGTGAGGGGGGAAAAAAATGTCAAGATCATCAATGGAGAGTGAATGAGAGCAGGGGAAGGGTGTGGCATGCAGCCCTATACTGCAGTGTGTGTTCTGACCTGTCTGTGTGTGCTCCAGAGGAGGATTTTGAGAAGCTGCCTGCGTCCACGGTTCCAGAGATGCAGCGTACCAACCTTGCCCCTGTCATCCTGCAGCTCAAAGCTCTGGGCATAGACAACGTGCTGCGATTCAGCTTCCTCTCTGTGAGTCCATCCAATACAATGTGTAGCCTTTGTGTGGAGCACTTTAATCTCGGTTTACCAGGAACTAAAATCTTCCGTAATTTGGTCAGATGCTCAAGTAGACTGTACATGAGATTTAAGAGCACTGAGAAAGGCACATCATTCTGAAAGCTGGTGAATTGACTCAAAGAGCACCAAGATGGGTTGTCAACAATTATTAACTTTGATAGGCTGCGTATTAAACTAACGTTATAATTGTTCCCCCGCTGTAGCCTCCTCCAGCCCAGTCCATGGTCCAAGCCCTGGAGTTGCTCTATGCCCTGGGGGGTCTGGACCAGTATGGTCGTCTGACCGACCCTATGGGAGTACGTATGGCAGAGTTCCCCCTCAGCCCCATGTTCGCCAAGATGCTGCTGGAGTCAGGAAACTTTGGCTGTTCCAAGGAGATCGTTACCATAGCAGCCATGATGCAGATCCAAAACATCTTCATGGTGCCAGCCAATCAGAAGAAACCAGCAGTGAGTGCTGCAGATGTCATCATGTTGAATTCCCAGTCTAAAAACGTGCTGTTGTGAAGATCTGTATCGCTGTCTCTGTGCTTCCAGACTCCAAAGCTTTTACCACGGCTTCTACCATCCTAATCACCCCTCGTCTCCCTCTCTGTCTGCATGTCTGGTCTTTACCTCCCTTCTTTCTCTCTCTGCTCCCATTCTCCTCCCTCCTTCATAGGCGCGGGAGCATCGGAAGTTTGCTGTGGCGGAGGGAGATCATCTCACCATGCTCAATGTGTACGAAGCCTTCATCAAGGTGGGCACTGCCACTGTGAACATGGTCCATGAACAATGAACAGCAAAGCACTCTGATAAATGATATAATATTTTAGATAAGATTTATATATTTTCATATCAGCTTTACTAAGCGTTTGCATTTCTGAAAACTATACTGAACAAAAATATAAACGCAACCATTTCAAAGATTTTACGACATATCTCCTTCGCATAGAGATGATCAGGCTGTTGATTGTGGCCTGTGGAATATTGTCTCACTTCTCAATGGCAGTGCAAAGTTGCTGGATATTAGTGGGAACTGGAACACGCTGTCTTAAACATAATAATAATAATAATAATAATAATAATAATATGCCATTTAGCAGGCGCTTTTATCCAAAGCGACTTACAGTCATCAATCCAGAGCATCCCACACCTGCTCAATGGGTAAAATGTCTGGTGAGTATGCAGGCCATGGAAGAACTGGAATTTTATTTTTTATTTTATTTAACCTTTATTTAACCAGGTAAGCCAGTTGAGAACAAGTTCTCATTTACAACTGCGACCTGGCCAAGATAAAGCAAAGCAGTGCGATAAAAACAACAACACAGAGTTACATATGGGGTAAAACAAAACATAAAGTCAAAAATACAACAGAAAATATATATACAGTGTGTGCAAATGTAGCAAGTTATGGAGGTAAGGCAATAAATAGGCTATAGTGCAAAATAATTACAATTAGTTTTAACACTGGAATGATAGATGTGCAAGAGATGATGTGCAACTAGTGATACTGGGGTGCAAATGAGCAAAATAAATAACAATATGGGGATGGGGTAGTTGGGTGGGCTAATTACAGATGGGCTGTGTACAGGTGCAGTGATCGGTAAGCTGCTCTGACAACTGATGCTTAAAGTTAGTGAGGGAGATAAGTGTCTCCAGCTTCAGAGATTTCTGCAGTTCATTCCAGTCATTTGCAGCAGAGAACTGGAAGGAATGGCAGCCAAAGGAGGTGTTGGCTTTGGGGATGACCAGTGAGATATACCTGCTGGAACGCATACTACGGGTGGGTGTTGCTATGGTGACCAATGATCTAAGATAAGTCGGGGATTTGCCTAGAAGTGATTTATAGATGACCTGGATCCAGTGGGTTTGGCGACGAATATATTTTCAGCTTCCAGGAATTGTGTACAGGTCCTTGTGACATGGGGCCGTGCATTATCATGCTGAAACATGAGGTGATGGCGGCGGATGAATGGCACGACAATGGGCCTCAGGATCTCTTCACGGTATCTCTGTGCATTAAAATTGTAATCGATAAAATGCAATTGTGTTTGTTGTTCTTAGCTTATGCCTGCCCATACCATAACCCCACCGCCACCATGGGGCACTCTGTTCACAACGTTGATATCAGGAAACCGCTCGCCCACACGACGCCATACACGCTGTCTGCCATCTGCCTGGTATAGTTGAAACCGGGATTCATCCATGAAGAACACACTTCTCCAGCGTGCCGGTGAGCATTTGCTCACTGAAGACGGTTAGGATGCCAAACTTCAGTCAAGTCAAGACCCTGGTGAGGACGACGAGCACGCAGATGATCTTCCTTGAGACGGTTTCTGACTGCTGAAATTCTTCGGTTGTGTAAATGCACATTTTCATCAGCTGTCAGGGTGGCTGTTCTCAGACGTTCCCGCAAGTGAAAAAGCCGGATGTGGAGGTCCTGGGCTGGCGTGGTTACATGAGGCCAGTTGGACCTACTGCCAAATTCTCTAAAACGTGGTGGCTTAAGGTTGAGAAATTAACATTCAAATCTCTGGCAACATCTCTGGTGGACATTCCTGTAGTCAGCATGTGGCATTGTGTTCAATCTGTGGCATTGTGTTGTGATAAAACTGCACATTTTATAGTGGCCTTTTTATGTCCCCAGCACAAGGTGAGGCCTCCTGTAGCTCAGTTGGTAGAGCATGGTGCTTGCAATGCCAGGGTTGTGAGTTTGAAGAATGTATGCACTCACTAACTGTAAGTCGCTCTGGATAAGAACGTCTGCTAAATGACTAAAATTTAAAATGTGCACCTGTTTTAATGATCATTTTCTTGGCAAAGGAGAAATGCGCACTAACAGGGATGTAAACAAATTTGTGAACAAAATTTGAGAGAAATGCTTTTATGTGTATGGAACATTTCTGGGATTTCAGCTCATGAAACATGGGACCAACACTTTACATGTTGTGTTTATATTTTTGTTCATTGTAAGTATAAGGGAATAAAAGCTAAATGGTAGACCAAAAGGTCAAATCCATTTATCTCTAACCCCTCCCATCCCTCCAGCACCAGAAGAGCTCTCAGTGGTGTCAGGAACACTTCCTCAACTACAAGGGTCTGCTGCGAGCCATGACTGTACGAGAACAGCTCAGACGACTCATGAACAAGTTCAAGGTGCCACGCACCTCCAGCGAAGGTGTGTGTACCCCACATTTCTGTCCAGTTTGTATCCTATATGTAAACCTCTTTACAGTGTTCAAATTGAACAGGAAATGATGTTTTTGTCTTGTCCAGGTGACCCGGATGTGATCCTGAGATGCATCGTGTCTGGTTTTTTCGCCAATGCTGCCCGCATGCACCACTCAGGATCCTACAGGTGTCTACCAACTCCCTGAAACACTGTTGTCTGTTGTTTTTGCCTTGACTAAGCTGAATGTCTCTACTGTTAATTCATCCCCTCCTCACGCCTTCTGTCTCCCAGGACTCTACGGGATGACAGAGAGCTTCACATCCATCCCAACTCTGTGCTGTTTGGAGAGAAGCCTACGAAGTGGTGAGGATTTGGCCTTTACATTGGGCCAGGGGTTCTCAAACCTCTCCTCGGGGACCCCAGAGGTTTCACAATTTTGTTGTAGGCCTAAACTAGCTCAGCTGATTAATCTACTCAAGGGCATGATGAATAGTTGACTGAATCAGGTGTTCGAGCTCTGGAATAGATAAAATATGGCTGGGTGTCCCAGAGGAGAGGAATGAATCTCCTAGATGTATGCATCTAATACTGCCTTGACCTTTCTGCCTTGTCATCCCCCAGGGTTGTCTTCAATGAAGTCGTGCAGACCTCTAAGTACTACATGCGTGATGTCACAGCTGTAGAGTCCTCCTGGTTGGTCGAGCTTGCACCCCACTTTTACAAGGAGGCTAAGGTATGAGAAAAACACTGTCTTTCTAGTACTCTACTCTCTTTTTCTCTCTTGTTTGTTCTGAGAGAGAAAAAAGCCCACCCATAGCACATATTAAGGGTAATTATGTACACTACAACGACCAAAAGTATGTGGACACCTGCTCGTCGAACATCTCATTCCAAAATCATGGGCATTAATATGGAGTGGGTCCCCCCTTTGCTGCTGTAACAGCCTCCACTCTTCTGGGAAGGCTTTCCACTAGATGTTGGAACATTGCTGCGGGGACTTGCTTCCATTCAGCCACAAGCATTAGTGAGGTCGGGCACTGATGTTGGGTGAGGCCTGGCTCGCAGTCGGCATTCCAATTAATCCAAAAGATGTTCAATGGGGTTGAGGTCAGGGCTCTGTGCAGGCCAGTCAAGTTCTTCCACACCCATCTCAACAAACCATTTCTGAATGGACCTTGCTTTGTGCACAGGAGCATTGTCATGCTGAAACAGGAAAGAGCCTTCCCCAAACTGTTGCCACAAAGTTGGAAGTATAGAATCGTCTAGAATGTCATTGTATGCTGTAGCATTAAGATTTCCCTTCACTGGAACTAAGGGGCCTAGCCCGAACCATGAAAAACAGCCCCAGACCATTATTTCTCCTCCACCAAACTTCACAGTTGGCACTATGCATTCGGGCAGGTAGTGTTTTTTTCCTAGCATCCGCCAAACCCATATTAGTCCGTCGGACTGCCAGATGGCGAAGCGTGATTCATCACTCCAGAGAACGCGTTTCCACTGCTCCAGAGTCCAATGGCGGTGAGCTTTACACCACTCCAGCCAACGCTTGGCATTGTGCATAGTTATCTTAGGCTTGTGTGCGGCTGCTCGGCCATGGAAATCCATTTTCATGACGCTTCCGACGAACAGTTCTTGTGCTGATGTTGCTTCCAGAGGCAGTTTGGAACTCTGTAGTGAGTATTGCAACCGAGGACAGAAGATGTTTACGCGCTTCAGCACTCGGCGGTCATGTTCTGTGAGCTTGTGTGGCCTACCACTTCGCGTCTGAGCCGTTGTTTCGCCTAGACGTTTCCACTTCACATAACAGCACTTAGTTGACCAGGGCAGAAATTTGACGAACTGGCATCCTATGACGGTGCCACGTTGAAAGTCACGGAGCTCTTCAGTAAAGCAATTCTACAGTCATGGTCAAAAGTTTTGAGAATGACACAAGTATTGGTCTTCACAAAGTTTGCTGCTTCAGTGTTTTTAGATATTTTTGTGAGATGTTACTATGGTATACTGAAGTATAATTACAAGCATTCCATAAGTGTCAAAGGCTTTTATTGACAATTACATTACGTTTATGCAAAGAGTCTATTTGCAGTGTTGACCCTTCTTTTTCAAGACCTCTGCAATCCGCCCTGGCATGCTGTCAATTAACTTCTGGGCCACATCCTGACTGATGGCAGCCCATTCTTGCATAATCAATGCTTGGAGTTTGTCAGAATTTGTGGGGTTTTTGTTTGTCCACCCACCTCTTGAGGATTGACCACAAGTTCTCAATGGGATTAAGGTTTGGGGAGTTTCCTGGCCATGGACCCAAAATGTCGATGTTTTGTTCCCAGAGCCACTTAGTTATCACTTTTGCCTTATGGCAAGGTGCTCCATCATGCTGGAAAAGGCATTGTTCGTCACCAAACTGTTCTTGGATGGTTGGGAGAAGTTGCTCTCTGAGGATGTGTTGGTACCATTCTTTATTCATGGGTGTGTTCTTAGGCAAAATTGTGAGTGAGCCCACTCCCTTGGCAATCCAATCCCTGTACCTTTTGCAGAATATCAGTCTGTCCCTAATGTTTTTCCTGGAGAGAAGTGGCTTCCTCTCTGCCCTTCTTGACACCAGGCCATCCTCCAAAAGTCTTCGCCTCACTGTGCGTGCAGATGCACTCACACCTGCCTGCTGCCATTCCTGAGCAAGCTCTGCACTGGTGATGCCCCGATCCCGCAGATGAATCAACTTTAGGAGACGGTCCTGACGCTTGCTGGACTTTCTTGGGCGCCCTGAAGTCGTCTTTACAACAATTGAACCTCTCTCCTTGAAGTTCTTGATGATCCGATAAATGGTTGATTTAGGTGCAATCTTACTAGCAGCAATATCCTTGCCTGTGAAGCCCTTTTTTGTGCAAAGCAATGATGACGGCACGTGTTTCCTTGCAGGTAACCATGGTTAACAGAGGAAGAACAATGATTTCAAGCACCACCCTCCTTTTTAAAGCTTCCAGTCTGTTATTCTAACTCAATCAGCATGACAGAGTGATCTCCAGCCTTGTCCTCGTCAACACTCACCTGTGTTAAGGAGAGAATCACTGACATGATGTCAGCTGGTCCTTTTGTGGCAGGGCTGAAATGCAGTGGAAATGTTTTTTTGGGGATTAAGTTCATTTTCATGGCAAAGAGGGACTTTGCAATTCATCTGATCACTCTTCATAACATTCTGGAGTATATGCAAAATGTATGTAGTTCAGTCCTTGAGCTGTTCTTGTCTATCGATGTTCTGTATTATTTCATGTTTTGTGTGGACCTCAGGAAGAGTATCTGCTGCTTCAGCAACAACTAATGGGGATCCTAATAAAACACTAAATACCATATGATATGTTTATCTTTTTAACTGATTCACTTTATATCCCTCTTGTTCTCTGTCTGTATCCCTCTCTCCTTCTCCCCATCTGTTAGCACGGGTCATTGACCAGCAAGAGATCCAGGGTCCTCTGAGCCAGCTTCTGTCCCCAGCTGTCATAACTCTGACCACTATGTCCTGGTTCCAACCCCTCACCCAGAGAGGACCAGCGCTAGGGGAACAGAGTCATGGGAAGCAGGGTACTGGGAAAAACCCGAGGAGGAGAAAGGAGAACACCCCTCCTAAACCTACACTGTGCCCCCCATTCCCATCCCAATACCCTCTTCCTTTCTATCACCCTGTACAAAGAGATGTATTATATTTATTTCCCATTCCACACGGTATTCACTAGATGGCCATGCTGTAACGGACAGAACAGATGAGCAAGTACATTAGCTATTCGTTCTGAATTTACAGAAGGGTTAGGGGACAACCCCCCCCCCCCCCCCCCCCCCCCCCCCGTCTGCATTTTGGCTAAGATCAAATGTAGGATCTGTTCTTTTCAGTTTAATATTTGATAGTTAAAGTGTGGTTGTGGTTGGAGTGCTCCATAGTTATGTCCTTTCCAGCATGGCCAGATCCCCTCCACACCTGTACATATAGAGACAGAGCAGGCTTGGGTCCAGGGAATGGGGGTACCATACCTGGGCCTTGGTTCCATGGTTATTTTTTTATAGCTTTGGGCTCAATTCAATCGAACCCTGTAGTATTTACGCAGTAGCTCTTTTTCCCATGGTCAAATAAAATCCCTAACAACACCAGGTAGACTTCACAGGTAGATGCTTCCAGTTTTCAAGATAATTAGTGTGTGTGTATACCGGCAGTAGTTTGTAAAACCAAGACGCTGTGTAAACATTGCTATGGGGGGGGTTTGATTTGAATTTCAGCCTCTGTTTTTAAGTCGTGGCATGGCGCGGTAAATAAACGAAGACTGAGTATGAGGATGTGAAACTTTTTATTGTTTGGGGACGCAAAAAAGTAGTTTCCTTTTTTCTTATTATTTTTATAATTTGCTCCTCCCCTATACTGGGTGCTAGTCTTTTCCAACTGTAGCTATCAGTACCAAGGCTAGCTATCTCCTTTTTCCAATACTTGTCTCTTTAGAACAGGAATCCCAAACTACGGGGACTGCAGGGTTTTGTTCCAACCCAGCCCCAACATAATCAATCAACTACTCATGGTCTTCAATCTGGATTACGTTTAGCTAAATCAGATGTGTTAGGGCTGGGCTAGGACAAAAGCCTGCACACCTAATGGCTCTCCAGGACCAGAGTTGGAGAACACTGCAATCTTCAATCATATGTGTTTTGACTCTGTGGCACAGATCTATAAGCTTGTGCCACAGATGGAAATTCAATTTTGGATTTCATGAGTCAACACAGAATGTAGCATTCTGGGTTGTTGCTGTGAAAAAGACCTCTTTGCTTTTAGACAGTTACTCTAGAACTCTTTACTACTGTCTATCTCAAACATAGTGAGTGGCCTTTTGAACCGTTATGTGCCAAAAAATTATCTAACCATATTTCATTTTGGTATGAAATGTGCAAATAACCCATCAAGCATTTTAAGTGCAAAAGAAGCAATCAAAACAGAAAAATGTAAGTGCCATTTTTCTGTATGATTAAGTGCATTCAGAGATGCATATGAAGCCTAAATAATGTATCTTTTTGAGCCATTTCTCTTTGGCCCATCACTGTTTGTTTCCCTATATCACCATTGGTTGTGGTTTGCATAAATCAGTTGTTCTATACATCATTGTCTGTGTCAAGACCAGTAATGTTCAACAGAAAGGAAGGCACACATTTTTAAGGGTCAGTGCTATCTTGGATCCTTGGGACATCCCTACCCATAACCTTAACCCATAACCCTTACCTTAACATTTTACATTTCAACTTCAATGGGGTAGGGACGTCCCAAGGATACCGGATAGCACTGGGCCATTTTTAAGTACGTTTCACCCCCATATATTACAACAACCCCTGCTTCTGTCTTGATTTGTGCTTCCTGGTTTTTGTCTTTGTTTTTCTCCAAGGAGTGCTATTATTTTATATATTTTTTACCCCCGAAAGCTTGAGAGTAAGAAAACAAACAACCATAGGACCTGCTTTCATTTCAGTAAGGTTACTGTCCTTTATTGACTTATGTCTGCATGGTTTTAACTTTCGATTCCTTGTCCTTTCTAGGTACAATATAACTGCCTCTGAACTCTGGAAAACTAACATACCATAGATGATCCAATGCAATCCGACTAGTAGAATGACTATACAAGTGAAATACTCTTGCATGTTAAATGGTAATCTATTAAGAACACTGCTAAGATCACAATGTAGATTTGCACAAATGTAGTTGACTGTGAGATGACTGATGTTCCTCTGTGCTGAGAATCTTAATGTGTCTGTCACAAAGCCAGTGTAATCTGTAGTCTGTAGTTGCCCAGCTCTGAGAAGCAGCTGTATCCCTCCACATCTTGAAATAAAGCCGTATGGTCATGGACTCCACTATGTCTGTCTGTCGCTGTTAAATGGTTTAAACTGTGACCATTAGATCAGTGTTTAGAGGAAATCTCATCCTACTCCTGAGTCCTGGGTAAACTCACTTGTGACCTCAGATACTGGTGTAGTAGTGTACTTGTCCAGCAGGTGTCAGTGTTGTACTGTAAACTGTTCAGACAGATGGTCTAGAATGATTTCCAGTCCTGCCAGTATTTCGTGTGATAGATGTTATTCCATTGAGATATAAATAATATAATCAGTCTTATTGTGGGAGACAATGCCAGCATGTTAATATTGTAATATTATGTCCAGTGTTTTACCTTTCTTGCTTTCTGTTTTCCCTGCTCATCCGACAATGTATTGACAATTCTAGAGCCTTGTATTGGCATTAAATACAAACTTCACGGGAATGCTCATAATTACATTGAATGGTTCAAGTGAGATGTATTGTTTCAACTTCAGATATTTTGAGTGTTTAAAATGACCAATTATGTAACCAATGGCACACAGGATTTATTCTCCGATTAGGCAATTGGAGATTGTGGTAGGCATATGGCTGATGTTAGGCCTGGTGTGTTCTTTCTGGCTGATTAGGTTACAAATGATTTCATATTGGGCACGCATTTAGGCAAGTACCTGGTGCGTTGATTGATCTCTGACCACGGTAAAAACGAATGTGGGTAGAGTAACTTTACAGCGGGTAGCAGAAATGTAAATAAACTCTCAGATGACAGTATGAGAGAGTGTGGCTGACTTCCTCGCTTAGCGCTCCAATCAGTCTGCAGAGGTGCGGGAAGGAAGTGCTCAAGACTCCTGGGAATTGAGGGAAGCTGGCAACCTGGTCTCAGAGCATTTGGTATTATTCTGTATATAAAAACGAAACTTCTCTTTAGTATAATGTTTCGTATGGTATGTTAAGAATTACGATGACAATTCCGATATATTATGAATTTTCAAAACGTATGACATTTTACAAATTTCAATTTGTTGTGGCTAACGTTAGTTAGGCTAGGGGTTAGGGTTAAGTTTAGGAGTTAGGTTAAAACGATAGCTGTAAGCTCTGGATAAGAGCGTCTGCTAAATGACTAAAATGTAAATGTAAAATGTTAGCTAGAAGAGTTAGGGGAAGGGTTAGCTAACATGCTAAGTAGTTGCAAAGTAGCTAAAAAGTAATACACACTTGCTAAAATCCTAAAGTTGTCTGTGATGAGATTCATTCATGTTATACTCCCACCCTGACCAACCACCCTCCTTTCATTTTTGCCTTAAGTAACCTTCTGTCTTATGTAACCATACCAAACGTAACATATCATAATACCGACATCGATGTTCCGGATTTACGTTTACTATGTCATGTCTAGTCTATGAGACCAGGCTGAGGGAAAAGAGCCAGAGAGACTATGGAGAGTGGGAGTGTGTAGGAGTCCAGAGACTGCCTCCGTTCAATTACCAGTCCGCGACACCGTTGACGCGCGTTCAGACAAGGCAGAAAAGGAGGTGAAGAGTCGGTCGATGTCATCCAAGCACTCTCCACTTATTTGAGTCGTCCCCCATTGACATAATTGGCCAAACCTTATATGAATATCCCCAGACCCACAAAGATGATGAATGGTGAAAATGATAGCGGTTGAGAGGGTTAATAGCGTGTGCAGTGTATGATAGGCTTTTATAGTCATTGGATTCATTAATGGTAGCATATAGGCCTACCTCCATCGTTACAATCAATAGCCGAGTGGTGGCTCTTCTACTAAAATGTAAGAAAAAGAGAAAGAGACGAAATTAACTTTAAATACATTGTGACTCTTAAATGGATGGCACTGGCAACCACGTGGTGGAGTCTTGTATGGTTTTTATTTTCTTAACCCTAACACACTTTTGCCAGATAGCTTCTTATGGCTAGATTGGATACAGTTTATGTCATAGTGACATCAAAAGTTGCACGTAAGGGATAATTTTGCATTTTAGCTAACCATAACATTAACCTTGGCCTAACCTTAACCTAATTCTCCTAACCTGCTACGTTAATTATCCTAGCCTGCTGCGTAAATTATCCTAACCTGCTACGTAGAGTCACTTCTGATATAAACTGTATACCATCTAGTTAAAACCTTTATATAGCCCTGCCATACCTGGAAGATACCAAAGGCATGTAAGTAGGTTAAGTCTGCTTAGCCTTTAAACATGAATGTTTCCACAGCATATGCATTTTAAATACCCAATTTGGATTATTTATTCAATATAGAAAAATGCTGACCATAATAGTTTTATCACCAGCAAAATAATTTGTAAACCAAAAAGATACCACACCCCTCTCCAAGGACAAAGTAGCACCTGCGCAATGGAAAGGCCACTGTCCTGGAGAGAAACCCAGACAAACAAAGACTAGATGCAAGTTAATGGGGAAGTTAGACTATGTAAACAAATATTGTAGCGTCCTTAACTCAAAACATAACGACCTTGTCAACAAGTTCGGACCTCTTGGTGTAATGGGTAAGGTTTTGGCTTGACAGTTGCTGGACTCGGGTTTGAGTTCTGATCGGGGCTAACTCCCCGAATTTGCTACATTGGTGTTAGAAATGGGATGGCGCCCGTAAGGCCATCGGAGAGGCGTCTCCAAGTGAGGGACTTGTTGAGTTGGGCGATATGGACCAAAATCCATATTGCGATAAATTGTCTAAATTAATGCGATATTGATAAATAGAATGATACGTTTATAACATTAATGTTCTCCACCGTTTTTAAAAATATATGATCCTTTAAACTACAACTACTAGTTTGATGGTTGTAGCCATCAATTGTCCCATTAACAATCACATTTCTCTAGTATAGGCTACTTATCATAATGAACGATATCAGCAAAATGCCTGCGATAAGTGATCTGTATGATAAGTGTTGATAATCCCTTATCTCAGTTCTAGGGATTTAGTATTGAGAAA